CCTAGCACACAACCTCGAGAACCTAACCCTTTCCCACACCAACCCCACCTGGTTCATGGACACCGGAGCCTCCCACCATATCACCGCCGACCCAGGTACTTTATCTCATGTATTTTATTCAAACATTAATCCACCTATGCATATTATTGTTGGTAACGGTTCTAAAGTAAGCACTACTGGTTATGGTCAGGGTACCCTTCCCACTTCCCCTCCCCTCACCCTAAATAATGTCCTTGTTTCCCCACATATCATACATAACCTCATCTCTGTCCGTCAATTTACTCGTGATAATAATTGCACTCTTGAATTTGATTCATGTGGTTTCTCTGTTAAGGACAACCTGACGGGAGCCGTGATTCATTGATCCAATAGTAACGGACCTCTCTATCCCATCTCCCAAGCCAACTCCAGCGCTCAGCTTCATCTAGCACAAATTGAAGAAGAAGAAGAAGAAGAAGAAGAAGAAGAAGAAGAAGAAGAAGAAGGGGATGGTGGTGGTGGAATGATGATGATGATGATGACGACGGATGATGGATGATGATGCACTTAATGGATAAAGAGGAATAGACGGAGAATGAATGGAAAATCTCCTCTTGGTATATTTTTTTTATAATTTAGGGTACCTGGCAGTAATTTTTTGAAACAAATACAACACAACATATGCGATATATAATTTTGAACTTTTTTTTGGACATTCCACTTCATGTTAAAATAAAAAATATTTTCTAAATTTGTAAATTTTGTTTCATGATTTTATCAAGGAGTACAGTTTGATTGGAAATACTACAAGATATTAATGTTTTATTATTCATATTTTACATAAATTCATATTATAAAATTCCCACCCTTCATCACACATCGCACATGTTAAAATCCAGTACTCCATATATCCTAAAAGGTACTCGTAATTTCTATTCTCTCTTTTTACCTTCCAAAAACTACATATCATTTCTTAAAAAATGGACTATTGTAATATCAAAAATATAATACTAGAACCCTTCTATCTTTGATCCTCTCTCTCTCATTTTTCCACCTTTGCCCTAGATTTTCCATTGTGCCTTCTCGAAAGCCTATTAATGAACAACGCCACACACCTCACTTAGTCTCTCTCTTATTCCTTTGTTCAATAGTGACTGTTTTACTGATAGAGATTTTTCAATTTTACAAATCTCACTCATCCATTTTTCTTATGTGGTGTACCATGTACATGTTTTTTTACAACCATTTTAGGGGTACACCAAAAAGTGTACCCCAAAGGAATACACCTGCATTTTAATGATTCACACTAACAAAAAATGTTAGTTTAATCAAAAAATTTCTATTGACATTTTTTGTCAGTGTTAATAATTAATCTAACATTATACTATCACAAAATATTGATTCGTATCTTCAGAATATAATGTGAGATAATTTTTAGATTACACATAAGTTAATTCTTTTTTTATGGTCTAAGACCTGTAGTTTTCGGAAATCAAAAACAACTAGTTTAAAAATTACCACAAATTCTTTTTTTATGGTTTTTTTCGGAAATCAAACCCATCTAGCTTAAAAATTAACAACAAATTACTAATGGCACCCTTTCCCCAATTTCCAAATGACACCGTTCTCTTGAAGCCATTACGATTTGCATTCAGCGCCAACTTCTGAGAACGCAGACAAAATCTGGTATTCTTTTCTTCTTCTTCTTCTTCTTCTTCTTCTTCTTCTTCTCTCTCTCTCTCTATGAACACATCCGCGAGTTTCTGAATTGTTAATTTTATTGTATCAGGTGCTAGTTTTGTTCCATTGAAGACTGTAATTGCAGGTCGTTGATTTCTATCTTTGCGGTTAGAATACAGAAAACTGCTTTAGTTTTTTTTAGGAGCGGAAAACTATCTTCAGTATTTTATATTGATAGTGCATTAGGTTTATTCTACATGTTCTTATTCATTCAGGAATGCTTTGCAGTATCTGCTTTTAGCACTTTTATTTGGTGCACCGTTTGAATATTATCGATGTATGATAAGCATCAATGTGTTTCCTGATTCTTTTTTCATTACTTGCAAGGTCTGGGCCAGTGGATATGCACAAATAGTCAAATACATATTCCTTCCTTGTTATTTTACTAAACAACTTCGTAGTTACGATTTATTCAAACAATGCTATTTGTTGAAGGTATATCAAGTGCCCATGACTGAAAGATTGGATAAGTCTTATCTTGTTCAAGAATACTTAAAGGTATGCACATAAAAAAAAAGGTATGCACATAAATGAGTTTTCACTGTCCTTGTTGCCTGCCTCATTTAAACTTGTTTTACTGATGTTGTAGGCGAAAGGACTGGTGAAGAACCAGTTGGAGTCTTTCAATCTCTTTGTCAGGGGAATAAGGGACTTTGTTCTAGCAGAACCTGAGATTAAATTTACAAAAGACCCCATTGCATTTCTTAGGCGAGTTATTTCATACATTAGTATAAAATTAACATTCTCTTTTTTTTACCCCATATTTGATTGTTGTTTTCTCTGGTTGTAGGTACAAGGATGTTTATGTTGCTAATCCACAAGATTCAAATGCCTTAGATCCGAAGATATGCCGGATGTCTGACCTTACGTGAGTGTCTTTCGCTTAAAGTCCTTTTATAATAAAATCATGAAGCTATGTGTCTTAACTTCTAACTTATCAATAAGATATCATCCTTGTTTCATAAAACTGAGGATTAGTGCTCATACCCGAAAAGCATCATGGTTTCCTGTCAAACCACTTCGGCAGTTTCCTTAAAAGAACTTGAAAGAAAGATGATTTCTAGATTTTGTTCTGTTATTTACCACTCCTTTATTTTATCTGGACTCTCCTCCCATTCTCTTCTTTTACATTTTTTGTTTCGGGAATTATATTCCCCGATGCTTTGCTCTTTTGTGCCTTCATTTGTGGGTTGCTACTTCTTTGGTTTTTGTTGCTATTGTTGTTTCTTTTTCCCTATTGTGTTTGTCACTCTGTTGTGCCACTGTTCAGCTACGCTGCTCCTGTTGTTGCTAACATTGAGTACACAGATACAAAATCAAGGTCGAAGATACCCATAGAACATAAGGTAGTTTGATGCGTTTCATGTATTAAATTACTGGAGAACACATAAAGCAGGTGGCTTAATTCCTCTCCCCTCCGAACAGGATGTTACCATTGGACGCATCCCCATTATGGTAAGAAGTTGTTTATGTGTACTAAATGGGAAGGATGATGAAGAACTAACAAGACTGGGTAGTGTACTCAGTTCCTTGCTAATTTGAAAACATGAGATGTGCTAGTTTAACATAAATTTTTGTTTTATTTGGACCACATGGAGCATGAGTGCATCAATATATTTTTCAAATACCAGGTGAATGCCCTCTTGACCCGGGAGGATATTTCATTATCAAAGGCACGGAGAAGGTAAAAGCTCTATGATAAATCATATTAAATGACGTTGTGATTCTTTTCTCCTTATACTTCCTTATGATATCTTTTTTACATGCTCTAAATACACAGGTAATGTTGATTCAAGAGCAACGCGCATGGAACAGGATAGTAATTAATGCTGATAAGAATGGATGGTGAGTGATTTTATTTTCTTTTTTATCTCTTTTTTTGGTCGGTATGGGTGTCTGAACACACAGTTCCTGTAGGGTCTTGTGTGAAGAAACACATGAAGATGATATTTAGCATTTCATACTATAATGTTTGAGTTGGCACAAGTGAATACCACATTTCTGCTTGTTTTTTGGGGGTAACATTTCTGTTTGTTTTTTAAGTCTTAATAATGCAGTTTACATACATTATACTTTCTCTTTTAATTATAAACCTTTTTTTTCTTGTTTACTATTATCTTCGATAAAAGCATGTATTTTTCCCTATTTGTATTTATACTAGTGGTTTTTGTTTTCAGTTTACAAGCATCAGTTACAAGCTGGACAAAAGAAAATACAAGCAAAACAGTCATTAAAATGGCCGAGGAAAAAATATACTTAGAGTTGGATCAGTTTAAAAGGAAGGTTGCCAAAACCATCCACCATAGTTGTCTTTCCCCTGTAGGTACTTCTTTAGGATATCTCAAACTGAATGTTTTATTTCTATATTGGTCCCCATAAAGGCAATGGGCATGGAGAGCGATCAAGAGGTTGTGCAGATGATAGGAGGGGATCCAAAGTATTCAGATCTTCTTTTGCCATCAATTCTGGTAAGACTATTTATTTTTACCTTTTTAAATTCTCATTGGATGGTCGAAACACTTATACTGGAAAAATGGAAAACTTTTTTTTGCATCTAATAGTTTTGTAATCGTATTATACTTGAATGAAATTAACTGTATTGTTGTAATGTGGGTACATAAATAATACTAGGCCCCTATCGTTTCAAGGGCCTTGGATTCTAAATTTCAAGTTTTGGACTGTTAACCTCTCCTACAACTAGTTGTAGTACTACGCAGTGATTATGCCTTTACTGAGTTTCTGCATCTTTTATTTTCAGGAGTGTGCAGGTCTCAAGGTGCACACACGAGGTCAAGCATTGGAGTTCCTTGAGAAACCTGTGATGGTTAAGTTTTTTATTTTGTAGTTTTAAAGAGCATTCTTGCTTTTGAATTTGTTCTTAACTAAAAATAATATTTTCACACCCTAAAGTTCCTAACTCGGGCGCTCAGCATAGCATACATCTTAAGCCAACAAACACCAAATAACCGGCATTGCATGCTTTCATTTCTTATTCATTACATCCTATCGAGATTGTGCGTAATTTTCATGAAACCAAGGAGTCGATCATTTATATACATTATAGCAATATGTGATGTTCTATTAGTGTCTTACAAAAACTCAACTTATTACAAACAACATCGTGGTCTTGATGGGTGAATGTAATCTTAAAACTATTACTCAGTGACAAGTAGGTCTTTATGGATGTATGGCTGAGCAAAACCTACTTTGAAGTTTGTACGAAGGACCTCTAGCTTTGCTCCAACATGGGTTTGCATATTCTTAAAATTATATGTGATGCCAAGGTCAATGCTTTTTCGTATCCATTTTCTTTTCTTTGGCTGGTTATGGAAACATGATGTGAAAGTCTAAATGTCTTCTGGGTTGAGATTAATAATCAATGGGTCGAGTGATATTGTGGCCATAATTTTGTCTTTGATCTTTTTGGTCTTCTAAATTTCTGTATCTTTTTTTTGCAGCTTAAGGCATCTTCATATTCCACTGATCCAGTTGTGAAGGTTTGCTTTGTTTTACTATTAGTTTCAAGGCTGCTGCTACTGAGTTATTTCTCAACATGCCTTGCTTTATTTTATGCTCAGGGAGAGTGTGCTTTACGCGTTCTCCGTGACATATTTCTTGCACACGTTCCTGTAAGTTTTCCCATCTAGGTGTAGAATTTCCAGCAACTGTCAGAATACAAAAAAGTGAGCCATATCCACCATTTTAATCACATTTTCTCCCATTTCTCACCATAAGCTTACATGTAGGTCCATCATAATAACTTCCACAGAAAATGTGTGCATGTTATGCTAATGGTGAGGCGCATGATGGATGCAATTTTCAACAAGGATGGAATGGATAATGAGGTATATTTACAATGGTGGCAGTGATAACTACTTCTAGCTCACATTGGAAAAGGGTACATATTATATAAATAGATAAAGGGTTTGGAGGTTGAGGAATTGTCGAAAGCATGTGGGTCTTAGCGTGTAAGTTTCTTCTCTTATTATGTTCTGCATTTTTATTGTTGGTTTTTGACATTATTGTTGTTATCATCTGCGTGTGTCATTCATTTTCGTTCTTATGTTTAATACCTTTGGTGGAGCTGATTCATTCTTTTTTCTTTGATCCCGCATGGGGGGGGGGGGAGGGTGGGACATTACAAATATTGTGGAAAGCTTCGTGGACTATCCACCTGTAGAGTCTCACTGGGCTGTTTGTTGTTGGTAGAAGTGAGAGATAGAGGAATCACAAGCTCGCATGCACTCTTCATTTTGTCGTTATATTTCTCACATCAGAAAATTGTTTTTGAATACATGGCATTTTTGGAAGCAAGAGGAGTAAAGAAACAATTTGTTGTTTACATTCATAGATGGATCTGACTTCTTATACTCCAAGGCAGTTCAACATGCTTTTGTGTTTGTGTCTTGAAGTTCCCTTGTAAAAAAATTGTTCTGTCATGATAGGAATTTTTTTAATGAAAATGCCTTGCACACTGCATTTTTTTGGTGTGTCAATTGTGGTTGCTATTAAAAGGTGACCGCCTCTCCTGCTTGAGGTACAGGTCTACGTTATGGTTATATATATATATACACATATATATATCTATATATATACATACATATACATATATATGTATATATATGTATATATATGTATATATGTATATATATATAAATATATATATATATATATATATATATATATATATATATATATATATATATATATATATATATATATATATATATATATAACACACACACATATATATATGACATTTGTGTGTACCAGTTCATACATATTTCTCCCTTTGCTTTTTGGTCGCTTGCTTCTGGAGTCTCGCATTTCAAAGCTATGATACTGCTCTGCCTTTATGCTTTGATCATACTTTCAGGCAAAGGCAAACCTTTTCGAAGGAATAATGCTACAACCTACATGTTTAATTTATACGAAAAAGGTTTTGAACAAACTTGGGCAAACTTGCTTTTAATTATTGTTATGGCCATTTGATGTTATAGGATTTTCTGGGGAACAAACAATATATGCTCTCCGGCCAGCTGCTATCTCTCGTTTTTGAGGTGCATATTGGTGGATTGCTTTCTAATGGCCTGTTTATCTGGTGGATCATAGTGCTAATGTGTTCTGTTGACTCATGTAATGCAGGATTCATTCAGGAGAATGAATTGTGACTTGAGGAGAAAAATTGATAAACATATAGCTGAAAAGTCAAGCGATGTGAACATTCAGCTTGTAAGCACTTAGTGTGTGTTGTTTCCTCTTACCAGCTTTAATATTATCCTTTTAGGTAATTCAAAATACAAGAAGATTCACACATTTTGGAAAACTACTACTCCTTCAGTTCAATTTTTGTTATGTGAACCTATTCGATCGAGAACAAAGTTTCTCAAAGCTTAAGAAAGGGAGGAAGACTTTTGAAACTAGGATCTTGAACCCACCATAATATTTTCGTAGCTATAACAATTAAGACACTTATTAGTCTTAAACTTGTCGTTATACTCATGTGGCTATGTAAGCTTCTTTATTAATGATAAGTTTAAGTTCAATTGTTTCTATATTTAGAAAGATGTCCATTCTTTTTGGAATGGAGTAAGAATGAAATATTCTGGCATATATTTTAATGGGGGAGTAAATCTTTTCTATTGGCATCTCCCAGTTCATAGACAAATCTGCTATTACTATGGCTCTGGAGAGAACCCTCTCTACAGGCAACTTGGATATCAGTAGACTTAGGGTACATATGAAAGGAACAACTCAGGCATGCCTTTCCTATCCTATCACTCCCTTTAATTATCAATTAAGCCGGTCTGCCTTTTACATATATTCGATATGAAGAAAGAAAGGGGCTTGAGATGTGAAGAAATATTTCATACATGTTGCAGGTTGTTTCTAGGTTATCATTCATTGGATTGTTGGGACAGATGACAAGGATCTCACCACAAGGTCAAGAGTGTATGAAAGCTACCGATGCTAGTCGCAGAGCACTGCAATCTAGTCAGGCATGTAAACGTAGCGGTTCATCTTGAACATTATTTTCTTCCGGTTTTGATAAGGGGTGCGTGAGTTTGCTTTATGCTCTCTATGATTGACTAAATTTTATCGCAGTGGGGCATGATCTGCCCCTGTGACACCACAGTAGGTGTTGCTTGTGGGTTGGTAAAAAACTTGGCCTTGATGACTCATGTTACTGCTGATCAGGATGACAGCACGTTTCCTCTTCTGGTAGTCTTTATCCCCCTCTCATCTTATATTTGAGTCTATAAGTTGAAGTTGGACAGATAGTCCCTTGTGTTTTATTTCTTTATTTTACTCTGAGCTGTATCAATCTATTATTACAAAAATAAAAGTTATATGCTGATTAAGTTTTTTATTAGGCTAGTGAAAAGTCCTTTGAAACATTTAGGGTTTGTGAACTTAGTGAAACTCCTCATGGTTTATTTCTCTGCGATGTTACTGATTTTTACATTGTTTAGCAGCTAATGAATTGCCTCGTAACCCATATATCTTTTTGGTGCACCCATGAGATTCTTCTTAATCATTATATCTGTTTTGTGCTACCATGAGATTCCTTTTAGGTCATTTCTAGAAAACATTGTTTGATAGCAAGGTTTCAATTTTTTCTGGATATACTTCATGTACATGGGAACTTTAGGCCATTTTTAATTACTCTATTAAGCAAACAGTGCTATACATTTGGAGTGGAGACTTTGGAACTGCTTCCGCAAGATCTTTTTACTAGAGATTCCTACATTGTTATGTTAAATGGAGTTATCATAGGCAAGCACAGGCAGCCAAAGGTTTGTTCTGGATAGAAGAGAAGTAGAATATCTTTTCTGGAAGGTAGGCTTCTTGTTAAGTTTCAACATAATGTGCTCTTTTTATCAGAAATTTGCTGACGATATGAGGAAGCTACGACGCTCTGGCAGGATGAACATGTTTACTAGCATCTATGTGAATGAAAAGCAGGTTATTAAATTTGGCCCTTTGTGATTTAGTTACGAGTTTCCTTTAAGTTGTTTATATTCTAAAAGAAATGTTCTCAGAATAATACCAAAAGTAAAATGAGGAATACAGCCCTTGTAGGGCTCGGTCTGCATTGATACAAGTGGTGGACGTTTGTGCCGTCCACTTGAAAGAGTTCTAAATGGTGTTCCTAAGGTTAAAGAGCACCATGTGAGAGAGTTAAAGGTAGTACTTATTTTGCTCTGATCTTGCTCGATTCGGCTTTGAAAAATTCAATACCTTATTTAGTTTGAGAATTTGTACTCTGTAGGATGGTGTCCGTGACTTTTATGATTTTATAAAAGACGGTCTTGTTGAATATGTAGATGCAAACGAAGAGAACAACTTACTGGTACGTGTAAAGTGAATGGAAAAATTTACTACGAAGAGAGTTTAATTGAGCTTGAAAATTTTCAGATTGCTCTACTTGAAAAGGATATCACACAAGCGACGACACATGTTGAGATTGATCCATCTACAATCTTAGGTGTATGTGCTGGTTTAATACCTTATCCTCACCACAACGACTCAAAATGCAACACGTATCAGGTATGGACTTTCTGTATGTACCCATAATCTGATTTCTAACTTATTTTCCTGTAGTTTTTTCTAACTATCTCGCTTATTGTATGTATTTATAGTGTGCAATTGGTAAGCATGCTATGGGTAGCATTGCTTATAACCAGGCAAGTTAAAAGGGTAGAATTTGTATTTCATGTCTTCCATAGGGTACTCAATTCTGGGGAACGTTTTGTTTCATGGGGTCCAGTATCATGGGTAAGCTTTCAGAGTTAATAATAACACATCAGTGGAATATTCTTAGTCACACACTCCGAAATGTGCCTTTATTCGTAATCTTGCAGTGTTTTTTCATGTTTCCAAGGCCTATGGTTGTTTAATCCCCTTTGATTGGTGACTAAGTTCTCACATATAACTATTTAGGCCCCGTTTGGTACACGGAATTCAAACTATGGAATTGGAATTGAGGACTTCAATTCCAATTCTCGTGTTTGGTAGTACAAAAATTATGTGGATTTGGAATTGGTAGTGCAAAAAATGAATTGGAATTGGTGAATTCAATTCTATGGAATTGAATCCCATGGAATTTTAATTCCAATTCAATTCCAATTCCATCAATTCCTTGTACCAAACGGACCCTTAGTGTAATTTCTCTTACTAGGTCAATTTTTGTTGTTCGTATCTAATTAATGTCAGTAACTTTTGCTAGAGAGACATACAGAATGAGTGTTGAATAATTTTTCTGATCTGCAAACAGATTGAAGTGATATTAAGATTTATTTGCATTGCAGTTTAACCGAATGGATGCTTTGACAAACATTTTAGTTTATCCCCAACGTCCTTTGCTAACCACGAAATCAATCGAACTGGTTGGTTGTGTTTTTTTCTTCTTGTGACATAATTCATGTGTTTTATATATTGCGTGCTTCACCTAATAGTTCACTTGCAGGTTGGGTTTGATAAGCTAGGAGCAGGGCAGAACGCTATAGTTGCTGTGATGAGCTATAGTGGCTATGACATTGGGAATGCTATAGTAATGAACGAGGCTTCTTTGGATAGAGGCCTTGGTCGTTGTGTAGTGTATAAAAGGTAAAATATTAAAATTGTAATGAATTCCAAATCATGTATGTTATTGCCACCCTCTTTTAACGGTAGCACATGATTTGTTTGGATCAATTATATTAGAGAATGTGGGAGTTCTTCATCTAAAGAAGTTGGGCCTCAGGAGCCACAAAGATGGGAGATTGAAAAGGTAGTCTTTTTTATGCATGGCGGCATATTGCCTTGGATTTAGATACGTTAGGATGTAAATGAGAAATGCACAATTTTCCGACACGTGCACCCTTCTTAACTTTGAAAATTTTAAAATTTGGAAATATCAAGAAAGGCTACTGGCCTTTTAAAATATTATTTATTCACATTTTGTTTTGTTCTCAATTACTTAATATGTTCTCTTTGATGAAAATACAACATTTTCTACACAGGAGGCAGTAGTCTTCAGTTACAAAAGCCAAAAGTTTTGCGCCAAAAAACTGAAACGTCAAACCCGTAGGCCTGAAGTACGTTTTGTAAATCAGTTTAAAATAAAAAATATATATGTGTGTGTGTATTCTACAAGATATAATCTCTTGTGTATGCTATTTGCAGGTTGGTGATAGGTTTAGTTGTAGGCATGGGAAGAAAAGTATTGTTGGTCTAATAGTAAAACAAGAAGACTTGCCGTTTACAGAATTTGGCATTTGCCCAGATCTGATTATTAATCCTCATGGATTAATTGGGTAAGAAGATCCTTTATAAATCATGATACGGAGTATTTTTTTGTAGTCCAAAATCTGTTTTATTATATTTTGGCTGGTTTCTTTGTCTTCAACTACTTGGCTGGTTCCTTTGTCTTTAACAAATATGTTTTATTATTGTTATTAATATTATTATATTAGTTAAGTCTTGAGAATATGGTAGGTGTTATTAGTACTATTGCTATTATATTAGTTAAGTCTTGAGAATATGGTAGGCTTTGATTTAGGCATTAATAGGGGTTATTTTGTTTCCTTATATTAGCACCATTTTTATGTATATAGCCACTTGTATTATGTAATTAAGTGAAATGTGAAAACCTTTGATTATTTCTTCATGGTATCAGAGATCGTCTGTTCCATAGTCACCTAAATTGCAGTACGTTCCGGTACGGGTACGAAATTCACTAGAGGTGACGAATTCGGTACAAATGGGGGTGAAGAAAATTTCGGTACGAAGTGGTACGGTGTACCATGTATTCGGTTCGGTGTACCAAAAATCAAAACATAGGTAAACAAAATTTATGAATATCAATAGATAACGATAAAAAAAAGGTTAGTAGATAAAATGACTCAAGAAATAAAATTACAAAAAAAATTTCATAAGACACTAAGACAGAATACATGGTGTGACTCGACACGCTAAGTTGAAACTTGAAAGCTTATAGGAGACTCAGAGTAAATCAGCGCAGAGGCTTATTTATACAAAGCGCAATGGAAACAAGCATCGTTTGGAAAATGCAGTAAAAAGAGCCTTCATACAGGAGGATATCTTCTTTCTTGGAGGAAAAAAGTGTCAAAAAACAGCTGGATACATTCTTCTCCTCACTTAAGAATCTCATTAGAGCTAACAACATATCCTCATTACTTAATCGCAAAAAGGACATAAGTACATCTGCCACAATGAATTCAACGTTTTCTTATAATACCTTGTGCGCTACCATAGCAGCATCTACTTTTCAACGGTGCATGCCCCATTTCAAATACAGATTGCTTAAAGCTGGTTCTTATAGTTCTTACCTGCTACCCCTATCGAAGCCCCCGGATATACAAGGAGGCATTGGAGTGATCAGGTTGCCAAGTTACGACTTGAGGACAAGTCGTGTTTCCAAGAGGGGAGTAATTATAGGTTCCAGGCTGGTTGGTTAAGTAATATTATATTTAAGTAATTAGCACTATTTAATTATTTATTGAGCCTTTTTATTTTTCATATTTATCATTTAATAATTTTTTAATTCCACTTAGTGGGAAGTTAGGGGCAAGTTATTCCCACTTAGTTCACTCTGGGAGGTTTAGGGTAAGTTATTCCCACTTTGTTACTGGGTGGTTATGAGTAAGCTGTTACTTGTAGAAGTTAGAGTCTCTTTGTATAAATAGACATCTAGTCATGTGTATTGATTACGGAAGATTACACAGTATTTTGACATTGGATATTCTCCTTGGCTTTATTAGTTATATGAGTTTAAGATTCTTACTCATATTTTGATAAAGATTTTCCTTCATCTTTGTTATTTATGAAGTTAGATCCTGGCTTCGTAATTTGATAGACTTTCCTTTATTTATTTCCCTGCCACTATCGAGTTCTATCACATTTTATAAAATTTAGCTTGTAAAATGTTTTCACACTAATCAAAAGAACATATTATGCTAATCTCTGGATTTCTCCATTTCTTTAATCTCGTTTAGGTTTGAAGATACAAGTTTACATAGCTTAATGAAATACAAATCTGATTCCGTGTGTTGTTTTCAACAGCCCAACAACAGTGGGAAAGATGATAGAGCTTCTTGGGAGCAAAGCCGGTGTCTCTGTGGGTAAGTTGCTTTACGGCACCGCTTTTGGCGATACCAGTGGGCACGCAGACACTGTTGATGATATCAGGTTATATATATATATATATATATATATATATATATATATATATATATTACGCATCTTGTAATCTCTTATGCAGTACTTAGCACTTACGCGAGCTTACCTATTTCAGCAAAATTCTGGCCATGCACGGTTTCAACTATCACGGGAAAGACTTTCTTTACTCAGGTAAATTTGTTTTTACCTTTCATCCTCATACCGATTAGCTTTTTGTGACTAGATTAAAATGCTAATCCCCCTCATTTGAAATTGTGAAGCACTCCTAGCTTTCAAAATCATTAAGAGAAATTATTTTTGGGTTTATGCATGCATGGAGATCGTTATTACCAATTTTTTGTGAAGAATTTCCATGTAGGCTATATTTCCCTTTCAAATTACTTATGAGTGAACTTCTCTTGCTGGTTAAGTTAGTTTTTGCATTTTATCCAAATTTACGTACTCCCTCCATTCGAAAATGTTCTTCTCATTTAACTTTTTACGATCTCCAATGTGGCACTTTGACCATTATTATCTATATTTATACATAGACATATTTTCTAAAAATTTGATATTAAAATATTCATTTCAATAGAAATATATTAATATTAAATTTATATCATAATACAATGTATTTTTTCCACATACCAGAGTCAAAGTTTACAAATTTTGACTAAGCAAAGTCAAATGGGTAGAACATTTCCGGATAGACGGAGTACTAAACATCTCTTTTGAATAATTTAAGTTACAATATTTCTTATGGTGTATTTAATAACATTAGTACATTTACATCTTACACAAATTATATTTTATAAAATATAACTATTAAAAATCATAAACATTAGATTTTTGTGTTAAGTTAATTTGAAGAAATTTTAGTAATTTAAATGCACTTTATATTATATTAGTTTGCTTTACTACTGATTTTGAAAACATGGTCTGCGCACGTGTGTGTGTGTGTGTGTGTGTATACTCCCTCCGTCCACAATTAAACTTCCCACTTTCCTTTTTCATCCGTCCACAAATAAACTTCCCATTCCTATTTGAGGAAAGTTTTTAGGAAGGAAATGTCCTTCATACCCTTGTCCCATCTTCTTCCTCTTCCTTCATTCTTCTTCAGTTTGCCTTTTCTTTCTTCAATTTTCTCTTTCTTCTTCATTTTTCTCTTTGTGGTTGGGATCTTGAAATGCTTCTACTCTTTCAGGTATTACTGGTGAACCACTGCAGGCATTTATCTTTATGGGGCCAATATATTACCAAAAGTTAAAACATATGGTAAGATCACTCTCTTAGGATTGTTGCATTTTGAGATTTGTTTTGGCCCTTATATGCATGATAATCAATAGTTGACCCATCAGAAATAGAGTATAGGCTATTTTTCAGTCTCCAACTTTTAAACGATTTACTTCTGAACTCCTTTTTTTATTTATTTAGAATTTATTGTTTCGGGACTGAAAATTTTGGGAATGCTTGATAATTTGAAATTTGGTTACATCTGGCACTTCTTGGACTGAACTCCTTTGGGCGCAAAATTGGTCTAGTCGAACGAGAAATATCCCATGCCCGATACCCATGTCTCTCTGTTTTGCGTACTTACTACATATTTGAAACTAGTAAGTTTAGCATTTCTTTTTCGTGTTGATGCTTAGGTAATAGATAAAATGAAAGTCTGTGGCAAATCGTATCGATGCCTTTTCACAAGACAACCTATTAATGGTTCACGTGTGGGTGAAATGGAACGTGATTGTCTGATATCATATGGTGCTAGCATGTTAATAAATGAGCACTTCATGATATCCAGTGATGCTTTTGAGGTGCAGGTAAGATATAGATTCGTTTTGATTGTAAATTTTTCATCATTATATGTTTTGAGTTAAAAATTTGGTTACCCGGGGCATCATTGATGACCGTCATATGTTATTTCTTTTACATGTGCGATGTGTGTGTGTGTGTGTGTGTGTGAGAGAGAG